CCAGGTTTTCCTCATGGGCCAGTGGAGCTTACCCAGCATGCACCACTGCATTTCTTTTCCAGCAGTAGCTGTGGACTGGTTATCCGTGGATGCATTACCATCATTTTCCTCGGTTGAGCTCAGTAAATGTTTACCAACTGCCTAAGCAGCCCTGGTGACATGCTCATAGCAGACAGTGGGCATGAGAACAGCTGGTGTTCTGGCAAGTATGCCAGAAGCTCACAAGTGACTCCAGAATGTCTGTTCAGAACAGTGCCCTTCCGGCTACACTGCACTGCAACAGTCATGAGGATATAATGACCACCTGTACTTTTGACTCTCTACAGATTTTAGAAACAGGACTCTTCAGAGTGGTCAGTGTTTCCATGAGATTATTAGCAAACAGCAGGAAACCAATTTGGGTAAAAGAATTTGGTGCCTTCAGATTCAGGTATAACAGGAATAGGATAGTTCTTCTGGACAGAATGGCAGTTTGAACTCAGAACTGTGTCCCATCACGTAGGAGCATCGATCTGATACTGAAAGGTAGCATCACTGACTGAGAGCAGCTTGGTCAGTCTTTGCCCATTTCACCTTTTCACCTGTGGCTGGGAGAGCACGGGGCGGACAGCACAGGGCGACTGCTTGTGCTCAGGACGGGTGAGCAGCTCATCCCAGGGGCCGGCCTGCCTGCCTGCCTTGCCCACAGGCAGCTCCTTGATGCCCTGCACCACTTGTCCGGTTTCTCCTCTCTTCTGGGGGGTGAGGAAAGGCCTCGGTCAGAGGCTCCCCTGGAGAACTCATTCCAGTCACAGCTTGTCAGTCCTTGTGGTTAGTTATGGAAGCAGAGCAGCCGTCCTAGAGTCTGACTGATAGATCAGTAGCTTTTTTCAGAGTCTGTGTCCAAGTTGTGAGTAACTAAAGACCTTACTCGGTTTTGTAGTAACATTCTTTCCTCGTGGTTCTCGTTCTCTCTCTCTCTCTCTCTCTCATACATACACTCATGGGGGCTTTAAAAAAGGAACGGAAAGTAGTTAAATAAAGTGGAAGATCCAAATTCTAAATGCCTTTTTTGATATACACTATATATATATATGGCAAAAAAAAGTTTTTGTTTTTTTTTTTTAAAAACCAAGGTATTCTGCTAATATTTTCAGAATTTTATAGTGTGGTTTGATCATATTAACCCTCTTTTCCTGCTCCTTACTTCCCTACCTGCCCGACTTTGCGTTTTCTTTCTTTTTTTTAAAACACTCATTGAGTCCAATTTGTGCTGTCCTAATACTCTTGGGTATGGGAGGAAAGATTAGATTTTTTTTTTCCTCCAAGACGGGGTTTCTCTGATAACCCTGGCTGTCTTGGAACTCGATCTGTAGATTGGGCTGACCTCGAACTCAGAGATCTGCCTTCCGAGTGCTATGATTAAAGGTGTGTGCACCACACTGCCTGGCAAGAAAAATATTTTTAAATGTCTATTATATTTATTTGTGTATGGGCGCATACAAGCCACAGCTTGTGTGTATGGAGGTAAAAGAATAACTTTTGGGGGAATTGGTTCTCTTTTTCCAACACAGGGACCCAAAGAGCAAATTCAGGTTGGCAGTCTTGGCAGCAAGTAATGCCTTTATCTACTAAACCATCTAGCCAGCCCAAGAAAAAGAAACAACCCAGATGATACATTATATGTAGGGTTTAGTCTGAAGAAAAAGTGACTTCTTAGATGAGTAAGTTTCTGGCATCTCTGGTAGTGCTGAGGATAATTTCGTGGTGCATATATATGTAATGAATGTTTTACAATTTAACTAGTTTGGCCAGTTCGGTTTGTTTGTGAGACATTTTACCCATGCTACCATGAGTTGGTTTGCAAGATTTAAAAATGAACTAAGAAACAAACAAAAAAGTGAACTGGAGCATTGGACTTTGCTACATCTGCCTATAATCTCTGCACTTGGGAGGCTGAGGAAGGTGTGATACATATGCCAGGCCAGCCTGGACTACACCTGGAGGCTGCAGCTCAAGAAACCCCACCCCACCAAACCAGCTAGTTGGAAGCATACTTTTTTTTTTTTTTTTTTTTTTTTTTTTTAAAAAAAAGAGCTCCTTGACCTGTTAATGAGCTTTCATCTTTTCTGAACAGTGTAATTTTGGCTGATACAGTTTGAAGTACATGCAACTTGACATGCAAATTTGACTTACTAAAGACTTTACTCTAGTTCTGCCTTAATTTTCAGAAAATACCTGTAATGAAAAACAGTAAAGAAAGCAGACTAAGAAACAGAACTTTTTGCTCCACGGGTTTCTGATCTAGGGTAGTGACCTAATAAATATCCATGACCTCAGTGTAGGTAGCCATTCTAACCTGTTAAGGTAGCTTGGGAGAGGCCTTTGTAGAGTAAGCTTTTCGTTTTGGCATTGGCTTTAAGACTTATTTAACTCCAGCAGGGCTGTGATGGTGCATGCATTTAAGCCCAGCACTCAGGAAGCAGAGGCAGGCAGACCTCTATGTTCAAGGCCAGTCTGATCTACTGGTGAGTTCCAGGATATCCAGGGCTACGGAGCCCTGTTTCGAAAAACAAATAGACAACAACAACAAAAAGAAAAAAAAGAAAAAGAAAGTGGAATACTGCTTTAATTGTACAGATACTACCTGCGAGCACTGGGTATGTGCTTGTGCTAAGTAGCTTAAATCATCTATGGGCAAGTGTGGGTGTTGGGTATACCAATCGATGCTTCTAAACGGTGCATTTTGACTCTTTCAGGTGAGTTATCTATATGCATATTAGTACCTAGAGCTAGGACTTAATAATCACTTTGAAAATAGAGATCTGGAAGCATTTATAAACTTTGTTTTTATGGGATGGAGAGATGCTCAGTGCTTAACAGCTGGTTGTTCTTACAGAGAACCTGAGTTCAACTCCCTGCACCCATATTGTAATTGGCAACCATTTAACTCCAGATTCAGGGGAGCCAATACCTTCTGAATTCTTGGGGCACATGATACACATACATATATGCAAGCAAAACATTCATACACATAAAATAAATCTTAAAAATCCTATTTTTAATGGAAATATATAACTACAGAAAATTGATAGAGGGGAAAAGGTATAATCCTCCCATTTTAAGATTTGTTTTATGTATTTTATATATATATATAAGTGTTCTATTTGCATGTATGTCTTCATGACAGAAGAGGGCATCAGAAAAAAGAAGCCATTAGATTCCATTGTAGATGGTTGTGAGCCATCATGTGGTTGCTGGGAATTGAACTCAAGTCCTGAGGAAGAATAGCCAGTACTCTTAACCATTTAGCCATTTCTCCAGCCCCATAATTCTCCCATTCTAACATCTAACAGAGTAACTGGAGTAACTGCTTTGGTCTGTTTTCTTCCAGGTCTTTTCTTTCATGTGTAGACTTTACATGGCTGTAAACATATTTCAAAGCAAATACCTTTGTTAAGAGAACATACGTTAGATATAGCAAAGAGCCAGATTTCAAATCAGATTCTAAACCAGCTCAGTTTGTACCCCTTCCTTAGGTTTTGATTCTTTCCCAGATAAAAAAAGGTAGTTTTAATCCTGGTGTTAAAAGGCAGACACTTTTCGAATGACTTGCTTTGATAAAGCCTCTGGTTAGCTTTTTTTTAATAATATTTATTTATTGTGTATACAATATTCTGTCTGTTTGTATGCCTGCAGGCCAGAAGAGGGCACCAGACCTCATTACAGATGGTTGTGAGCCACCATGTGGTTGCTGGGAATTGAACTCAGGACCTTTGGAAGAGCAGGCAATGCTCTTAACCACTGAGCCAATCTCTCCAGCCCCTCTGATTAGCTTCTTTAAAATGAGTAAATGTGGGCTGGAGAGATGGCTTAGGGATTAAGAGCACGGCCTGCCAGAGATCCTGAGTTCAACTCCAGCAACCACATGGTGGCTCACAACCGTCGGTAATGTGATCTGATGCCCTTTTCTGGCATGCAGGCATATATGCATGCAGAACATTGTATATGTGGTAAATTAATCTTTTTAAAAAATAAATGTTAAGTCATGTTGTGAGAGGGCACAGGGGCACATACTCAGGCACACATTGTGTGTTGGCAGCAAGATGGACAGGCTAATTTTTAAGTGTATTTTGTATCCTACTTAAGTAGTTACAGGACATTATTTTGTGTGCAGGGTGTCAGTTACCTGTGTCAGCAGTTCATTTTGTGGACAGGGCATGCCTTTTCTGTCCCTGTACCAGTAGCTGATACTTTCCTTGAATCTGAGAACTAACCACCTTTGTTTACTGGAAGTGGTGGATTGAATGAGAGGTTAAAACAGAGAAGTGAAGAAATAATATGTAGGTGAAGGGCATGCAGTCAAGGTCCATGAATTAGACCCAGCACTTCCTACCTGACAGGGTAGTTGCGTGTGTGAAGCCCAGTGTTAAGTACATGAAATAGCAGTTTCTTTGTGGTGGTTCAGTATATACTTTTTGGGGGATTGTTCCTCCTCCTGTGTCACCCGAGGAGTCCCCTTCCCAATTTTCATGTCTCATATGTTGTATTACACTGTCTATCTCAGATCCTTAAAACCTTTTGTCTTCTCATGACCCCTCTCGTTGCACATAAAGTCTGGGAGAGCTTACTATCATGCTTTCATTTTTCTTGCCGTTTGACCCAGAGGACCACACCCAGCACTTGCACATTTGTGTTTTGCTCTTTTCATAGCAGCAAGGAGATGAAGTCATCCTAGGTGTCCATCAAAAGATGAGCGACTGAAAGCACGGAACACATACACAGTGGTTCTTTTGTTTTGCTTTTGGAGACAGGGTTTCTCTGTGTATCCCTAAATGTCCTGAAACTCACTGTGGAGACCATGCTGGCCTTGAACTGCCTCTGCCTCCTGTGTTCACAGTAGAATTTTCTTGAGCCATTACAAAGAAGACTCTTAATAGGGTATCTTATTTTAAGCCCGAGTAAAGCCTTTTTTTCAGGAAGACTGGCTATATGACCCTGGCCTTTTCTTTTTCTTTCAGTCTTCGAGCAGCGACAGCGGTGGGAGCAGCAGCAACAGCAGCATCAACAGCCCAGACAGGGCCAGTGGGCCGGAGAGCAGCCTGAGCCACATCACCCCTGGATCCTGCCCCAGCACCCCCCAGCCGGTGCTGCCTGAGCAGTCTGCACTGTGCCAAGGCCCTTACTTCCATATCAATCAGACCCTGAAGGAGGCCCATTTTCACAGCCTACAGCACCGAGGCCGGCCTCTGACATGATGCTCCGGCAGTTTCTTGCCTTCTGTGAAGGGACAGCACTGTGCAGATTGAATATTTCAACTTAATGATTTGTTTTTAAAAGTTGCACACAGAAAAAAAAAATGCCTGTTGGCTTTCAGTCTATATTTGAGTATTGGGTCAGCAGGCAGCTGTTTACTTGGGGTTTTGCTGCATTATTGCAATTTCAAAGGGGCTTGGGAGCAATTTTTTATAGGATTCTTTTGAGAGAGAGCATCAAGTCCATGTCATGGCAGTGTTTGAGGAAATCTCTGATTTCCACATCTGTCAGTAAGACATACTGTATGTAAGAGCCTCTTAAAAATGTGGGATCTTCAGTTTTTTTTAAGTCAATAAACTAGTAATGAATATCTAGTTTCCATGGAAAAAAACCCATAAGTTTTCTCCCCAAATATGGGAAGTTTGACTCAGTCTTGCATTGAAGTTAACTGCCATACTACCTCTTAGTGTGTAGATGTCCATGGAAAGTCCTCCCTGGAAGGGAACAGTTGCCTAAACTGAAGACCGTGAGGCCAAGCATTTTCCCTGCCTGGCTGTGGTCTGTTACACGTTTGTATTCCCAGGGAGGATGTCACTTCCATATCTGTTTTCTTCTAGTCTGCACTGCAGATGCTACAGAGAACCCCACAGTCTCTAAGAAACACCTAGTAACTGTCTTACAAATCTGCGTATTAACAGCTTAACTGCTAACCCTTGCAGTGCCCATGGCCAAGGCAGTGGTCAGTGCTGATGAAGCTAAAGAGTGAGGATTTAACTCATGCTTGACAGCACCCCTGCCTGCTAGGGGGCCACATTCCATCGTCAGAACCAGGAAGATTGGGGCAGTGTAGAAACATAAGCAGAGGCACTTCTGGGAAAGCGATGCAGTAGTATTTAATTAGAGAGCCTGGGCATTGTTTCCACGCTACTTTGTCATACTAGAGAGCCAGGCAAGCTTGAATAAGGAAGATGCAGGGGAGTCGTCTTCCTCACTGGCGAGCTGTCTGAACAAGGAGCCAGGATGTGTCGGGTCACCTGCTCTGGAGAGTGCTGGGGGGCCAACCTGCCATTAGATGAAGAGGAAGTGCCTTAAGCCTCCTGCCAGCTCCCCCTCCACTGCACCCCACTCAGGCCACACAACACAGGCAGCAGCACTGAGGAGCAGGGATGGCTCTAGTAAGAAGGGTCTGAGGGAGCTGCTGGACCAGAGCAGGCTAAACTGATAGAGCTACAGTCTGAAGACAGCCCATGCCAGGAAGAGTGGACATGCGGCTGCTCCTCTGAGGGCCACAGCATGGAGGCCAGCTGTGTGACATGGGAACTAGTGTCATGAAGCCTGGAGGTCAGAAAGAAAGTTGCTTTCTTTTAGGACTGTCTTCCAGATTTTAAAACCCTATGTTACTGGGTTTGCTGGCAGGGAATGTGAGAAAGGAGACTTTTTTGGAATTTTATCTAACAAACAGGCAAACCGTGCTCTAAGAAAAGCTGTCAAGCACACATATACACAACACAATCCAGAAATACCCAGGAGGGCTCCGGCAGGCTTAATGGATGGCGTCCTACCAAAACAAAACACGTATTAATAAAACAATGCTCAAGAAAGCATGCTTCTTCCTGTTTCCCACCCAGCTAAAGGCACAGATGAGACCATCTGCAAGACAAGGGTCTGCTTCCCATGCTCTGATGGCAGTGCTGGAGTGCCAGTCACCAGTCACTCTCCTTACCCTACAACATGCAAGAAACCACCTCTGTCCTGTGCTGTGTGTTCTTCACGGGCTGGGACTGGGTACCTGCTCGAGCCAGTGGACGTCTTTCTATGAGCTCAAGCTAGTGAAACCTTGTATTCTTGCGCCGCCATTAAAAAGCAGCCTTAGTGCATTGCCATATGGTGCCTAATTGATTATTTCTAAAAGAGCTGGTGGGGGTTTGGCTCCTGAGTGGAGGGGGGGTTGGAAGAACCAGGAGGGCCTCTCCTCTTGGCACTAACCTGGGTCTGTGTCTCGACGCCTCTGCTGGTTGCTTTTGCCTTTCTCGTGCTTGTCATGCTCAGTGGAAGCAGCCCGAACCTCAAGACAAGAAAGACGATTTCATGGCGGGGAACAGCCAGCCGCAGCCCTGCAGAGCCTCGAGCTACTCACCTGATCTGACTGGAGGCCAGTGGCAGGATGTTATGGGGTTCCTGGGAGTTGAATGTGCTGCTCCGGGAGGCAAACTGTTTCTCTGTACCAGTAACTAATCCAAATAGAACCTGCAGGTAAGTAAGAAAGGGAGAGGGGCCCAGTGACTCACTCCAAGAGACAGTGGCTTCACTGTCTAGCCATTGTTTGGGAGTACTTTTAAGTGCTACTTTTTCAGAATTATTCCTTAATCTGCCAAGGGTGAGACTCTCAAAGCCACGGAGTTCTCTTCTAGAACATTTATTGTGTATGCGTCCAGCCTGGAGGTCAGAAGACAACTTTCTGGAATCAGTTTTCTTCTCACATATGGATCCCAGGGACTGAACTTGGTGTTGGTGGCACACACCTTACACACTGAGCCTGGCACCCATGTATTTCTTTTTGTGAGGCTGTATAAATTAACCCTTACCTCCAACATTGCTATTGAAGATCTCACCCCTGTGCATGAGGGACTATGGCGGACTTGCTTTGTGATTTGAACCAAATGCACCCAGTCTCCTCACTAGTCACACTAGCATGGCTGGGACCAAACTTACAGAAGTCCGCTGCACCAGGCGATTAAGGTTGCTGTTGAGATGCGGTGTGAAAACATCCAGGTCAAAAGGGTCGATGAGGGCCTCTAGCCTGTCAGTCACTTTCTCAATTCTGCAAAGAGTCAGAAACTTTATTCTCCACACACTTTAGGACAGAAAACGACTTGGCAGTTCTTACTACGATAGAAACCCCAGAGGTGGGCATTGTCCAGCAGAGTTGCATGGTGTCCTTAGGACAATCAGCCAGACATGATGCTTAAGTTACGTGCCTTCTGCTTACCAAACAGGTTCTGCCTGCTTCACTTGGCTGTGGAATTTATTCAGCAAGTGTTACTTAACCTACCTATTACACAGTGACTCACTGTAAGAGAAACCAAACTGCAGGATGTGGCAGGCTTTCTTTGGGAGTACCTCAGGAAAGGGGCCTCAGCTTAGGCTGTTGAACACCAGCATACAGACTATTGTACAATGGTGCCCGACCACAGCTAAGGACAGGACACACAATGTGAGATGGTGTGGCCTCAGGGCTGCCTAACTGCTCAGCTCATGGACACCACCACCAAGACAGGGTTTCTCTGCTTGTAGCCCTGGCTGTCCTGGAACTTGTTCTGTAGACCAGGCTGGCCTCAAACTCACTGAAAACCACCTGTCTTTGCCTTCAAGTGCTGGGATTAAATATATGTGCCACCACTGCCTGGCAGCTTTTAGATAGACACAGTGTAAGACATAGTTTATTGCTGGCCCAGATAAAGATCTAAGTCCTGGACCTGAAGTATGGTTTCAACTGACTGCTGTACACTCCGGCCACTGTAAATTAGGAAAACCCCAAGAGAAAGCCTTCTAAGTATACTGTCCATTAATTGCATCAGGAAGAGGCTGCCTTGGAGGCATCCAGTAGGAATAGTCACCTGGAGTCTGGCTTGCTCCGGCCACTCTTCACTTCTTCCCCCTTGCTGGTCAGAACGATGTTGAGGTAGCGCAGGTCATAGAGGAGCTGCAGGGCTCGATTCTGGGTCATTGGAAATGTCCCTTCTTTCTGCAAGTGAAGGCTGGCTGGTGAGGGGCTGATCGCTTACATGGGTCTCAGAGCAGCTGCAGGTTCTGTTTGTATTACAGCTTGGTACAGTGAGCTGACACCCACAGGTTCAGTATAGAATCCTGGTCTTAAAATCTCAGAGACCAACCCCTTAAAGTCAGGCTCTGGGCTGAAGGTGGCTGTCACAAAGGGGCAGGGCTTCTTGCCTGGAGATGTATGTGAGCGCTGAGGCCCAGAAGGGAAGACTTCTCTTCCAAGTCAGAATGGTTCCGCCTTTAAATGTTCCCAGTGAAATAGGCCAAGTCAAGGGTCAAAGACACAGGTGTAGTGGCGACCGAGAGGCTAGGGCCTCCTCCCATCCTAAAAAGAACCTCTGGTGCCACAGCTTTCTCCATCCTGCATCTCACTCAGCAATGAGCATGGAAGGGATGGGTGTATCTCCTGTGTGTTGAAGCCACTCCCAGCTGAGCGGCCCATCTACTGCTATTTGATCCTGGGTACATCAAGGGTTTATAGGCTTGCCCAGAGCTTGCATGAGCAAATGGTGGTACTGGTGCCAGAGCTTAGCTGTTTTTGTTTTTGTTTTTTTTTTTAAACTGAAAGCTTCTACCCTGTCCATCAGTCCTGACCTTCAGGGTGACAGAGTCAACCTGCACAGTTGAGTGCCTCTCCTAACACAATGGAGCATATTTACGGGACTGGAGCCAGGGCTGGGCAATGATACCATTCTGTGCCCTTCATACAAACTGCCCAAATCCAAGAAAAAGGTCTGTCTGTTTGTGAAAACATTTGGATATCTACCTTTACCTGTTGTTCCTCTGTGAGTTGCTCATAGGCAGCTATGACTTGGGCCACACAGGTCTTCAGCATTTCCTGCAGGGTCACCTTGGGCAAGGCATGGCCTCCAACCCGATTAACTTCCTGACATAAGCTAAACAGGAAGGACTGTGCATACCAGGACGGCTGAAAGATAAGAACACATTGCTAAGTGCACTCAGCAAGCCCCACGCAGCCCTCACTTAGGATACCTTGACCTCTCCCACTGAGCGTGCGCTCAGCTGGTCCTCAGAAGGCACACATGGAAATGGCTTTCTCAAGCCATCCTGCTCCTCTGGAGCAGTTTGTCCCCTCTGCAGCCCAAGCACCTGTGAGGTAGGACACACTTACTTGCGTAGGGAGGCGTATCTTAGACGTGACACTGCTGCCAGACTCGGTCTCTTCTTGAATTTCTAGTTCATCCCAGTTGGTGGCAGTGGCCAGGATTGAGCCAGCGTCACTTAAAAGCAATGACTGAGTGAAGCCACAGATCAGGAACTGGTGATAAAAAGAGAACAGCCACATCAGTTCCTCGGGGCCCTGGCAGCATCAGTTTAAAGTGGCCGGTGTGTGGGTGGTAAACTGCCAGCCCCACTACCCTGGCAGGTCAACACCCAGCGGGAGGATGCAGTTGCTAGCCATCTTAGTAATGCCAGGTGTCACCTGGATGGAGACCACAGGGGGCTGTGCTATTGACACACAAGCAGGAAGCAGGGTTCCTTATCCAGGTTGGTAAGAGGGAAACATGCCATAAAGTCTAGGGTGAGGAACAGAAGTTTACACAGGAGCTGCCTGGTGCAGGTTACGTCAGCTATGAATAAACATTAGCTATGAATAAGTCAGCAGGACTGAGGATGGCCAGACTGGAGTAAGGCCCCAAGACGTCCCATCACGCCGTTACTCACTTTCACAAGCGCTGAGCTCCAGACCCGGTAGGCCACGATGCTCTGTTGGAGCAGGACTTCCTTCACTTCCTGCCACTGGGCCTGCACGGGGAGCACCTCCTGAGCTTTCTCCTTCCCCTGCTGTTTCAGAGCTCTGGCCTCTCTTGCAAGTTTTTCCGAGCCCCCACACTTTCCCACAATACACTGCTTCAGGTGAGGGCACAGTTCTCCCAGGGACTGGCAGAGTCTGGCCATGAAGAGGACGGCATGCAGTTTGGTGCCGTGAAGGATATCCTTCTGATCGCCTGTGACTTCTTCAATGATCTGCAGCTCTGCCTGGATGCAGCCCACAATGTACTTGATGCAGGCCACGGAGTGAGTTCGCAGCATGTCCTGCACAGTCCCGGCATCTGCATGTCTGTCAAAGGCAGAGTTCTTAGCCTGGTGCACGGGAGAGGGGTCCTTGGACAGTGGTGTGTCACTGGAGGGAAGGTAGGCCAGGAGGTCGTCCAGTTTAACCTTCAGCTTAGAATCCAGGGCAGAACAGAAGCTCTGGACCCCAGGGCTGACTGCTTGGGCTTTCATGGAGAGGCCACTGTTGGCAAACTGAGGTCGGTTTGCCACGCTGACCCAGGCAGCATCAGAAGGCAGGTCGCTGGGACTCTCGGACCAGAGGAAGAGAGACATGTTCTGCTCAAAGTGGACATGCTTATTCGATGTGGAGTTGTTGCTCTCCAGTTCCTGCAAAGCTGAGACCAGAAGCTCCTTGGAGCTGTTGCAGATGGATTCAAAACCTTCTCTGGTCAGGGTCTAAAGAGGAGAGCAGAGTTTCAGTCATTACTTCATGGAACTTTCCAAACGAGCTGAAATGGCAATTTATGCCAGCATCTGGAACGTTCTTTACCAACACAGTGAGTGTTGGCGTCCGACTGTGAAATGCCACACAGGCTCAGGGGTTAACGGCCTGCTCTACCTTGGTGGCACTTTGGGAGGTTGTGGCAACTTTAGGAGTGGGTTTAATGAAAGCAAGGCCACCGGTGTCTCCTCAGGGTCTGTGCTGTTGTCCCTCACACCCCAAATGCTTCCTGTTTGCCACAAGGTAAAAAGGTTCTGCTGCATGCTCTGGTCACATGTTCTGCCTCACTGCAGATGCTCTAACATGCTCTGGTCACATGTTCTGCCTCACTACAGATGCTCTAACATGCTCTGGTCATGTGCTTTGCCTCACTACAGAGGCTCTAACATGCTCTGGTCACGTGTTCTGCCTCACTACAGAGGCTCTGACATGCTCTGGTCACGTGTTCTGCCTCACTACAGAGGCTCTAACATGCTCTGGTCACATGTTCTGCCTCACTATGAGCCCAAACCAGCCAAGTGATCATGTACTGAACTCTCAAAACTCTGAACTAAAATACATGGTTCCCCAAGGTATTTCACA